TTTTTTTGTGTAAGACACACACCGCACGTGTGGGGCGTTTTTCCACTCTTTATATTCCCCACAAACACAGCGGTACGCACCACCCATTACCCCCCCCCCCCCCCCCCCCCCCACCCAACCCCCTTCTAAACTCCATCGAGTAGAACCGGGCTACGTCAGGCAGCAGGCCACTTCGGCAGCAGCCGACACTGAAACTCAGCCGAGCCTGTTGTACCGGCATTGATTCTGATTAAACTATAAATAATTAATTAAAACACTACCAATCGTGTCCTTAGACACGGACGGACAAGACAGACGGACGGAAAGACGGACATATAGATATAGGATCGGCTATTCATGCTAATCAAGAATACATAAATTATATGGGGTCGGAACGTCTCCTTCTGTGCGTTACATATGTATGTACATCCACTTTTGTGCATAAATACAATATACCCTATTTACTCTTCGCATACCGGGTATAAGTATAATTTCTCAAAAATGTATACTCAGTTTCGACTAGAGTACTACTGAACAGAGGCATTGCTTTGCAAAAAAAATATACAAACATTAACATGCGGTTTTGATGGTGCGGCTTGATAGCTATAAGTACATAGAAAAATATATATATAAGTCCAGATTGTTGCACCTGCTCATAGAACTTCAGTTGTTGGATAGGTTCATCCGAGTCGTTTTCACAAAAATCTTTAAACAGCAGGTAACCTACAACAAAAATATCAATATCAGGCATTAAATTATACACATAGGTAACAATTACTTACCTAAAACTTCGTTAAAAATTTTATGAAAGTTAAGTTGGCTTTCTTTTTCCAAATATTTGTACATAACGCTTCTAACACTAAAATTACAGAAATGTTCAAATGTTTAGTATATCCGATTTATTATTTTTATATACGGTAGAGGTGTATATAGAGCCATGTCTGTCTGTCCGTCTTGTTTTTCGGCTAGTTCTCAGAGACTATAAGAGCTAGAGCCACCAAATTGGCTCCGGACTGCTGTATGCTCACACTGAAACCAGTGTATTTCAAAAATGAGCCACGCCCCCTTCCGCCCCCGCAAAAGGTCGAAAACTTTCCAAATCTACAGTTTGGAAGATAAAAGAAAACTAAAAACGCCATTCCGTAGGAAATTACCATATCTATCAGATCACCAAATTGGGATCCGATCGGATCATTATTATAGCCACAATGGAGAAATTAATTTCCAGTGGCTAAACCCACCCTGTCCCGCTGCTCTTGTTGCTCTTTTTACATGCTCTCATTCACACTCTGCTTCTGCTTCACTCGGCCCCTGCCTCTGCCCTCCCCCTGTCGATGATCGCTGCCTCTGCCTCTGCCACGAGTCTGCAGTATGTGGGTCTAGGGAAGGGCGGCGAGCGTGTTGGTGTGAGAGGTGTTGTAGATGTAGATGACAGATTAAGAAAAAATTTAAAATTTGACAAAACACCGCTGAGGTGCAGCTGCACTATTGTCACAATGACCAGTTTTGGTGGCTGTTTACGCCAAATTAGCGCAAAGGGCCGGGAGCAATTAGTATTTTGTATAAGTAAAATGATTTTGTAACATTAAGATATTGAATTGTTGCATTTACGACATACTCACAGAAGTTTGTTGCTATAGAACATACATGTAATATGTGAATACGATAGAGAAAGAGGAAGAACATACATTTAATAGGTGAATATCGAAATTAAAAAGAAGAAGAGATTAAAGAACTCCCGATCACTATACCTGAAGACTGCTATCATCCTACTTTCGAAGTGTCGATAGATATTGGACCTACTGTATCGGATAGTGCGGGTAGGCTATCTGAACACGTCCGCTGCTTTCGTAAAGCCGAGTTTACGAGGCTCAATAACTTAATTAGGGATTTTGATTGACGTCATTGAAGGCACAAACATTTTTTACAATGTACTTGACACAATTGTTGACACGAGTGTCCCACTCTCATGTCCGACTAGATCTGCGAAACCTCCTTGGTTCACCAAAGAGTTATCCAGTAAAAAAAAATCTAAAATTAAGACTATTTAAAAAATCTCAAGAAGTTGGTTCTCCCTCTTCTCTTTCTAATTACTTAATAGCTCGGTCAAATTTCACTGTTCTTAATTCTCAATGCTATAGGAACTACCTCCTTGGATGCAGGATACGTTTTTCACAGGACCCTAAACATTTTTACAGCTTTGTAAACAGTAAGCGTAGAACGTCCGCACATCCATCCTCGCTATCATTTTTGAATATGTCCGCAAACAATGATCAAACAATCGCCGGTCTTTTAGCAACATTTTTTCAAACAACCTATTCCAAGGAAAGCTACCCCTGGTCATGTTTATCCATATAGTCTAACAAGGTCGAATGTAATTTTTTGCTCTTCGTTTAATGAAGGCTCCTTACTTAATGAACTTCAATTAGTTAAGCCGGTATTTTCACCATGCCCTGACGGAGTTCCCGGCTGTGTACTCAGGTACTGTGCAGAGTCTCCGTGCGGACCTTTGCTTAAACTATTCACTCTATCCATCCAATCTTCTAGGTTTCCCCTCATCTGTAAGGAATCCTTTATAATTATTCTTCATAAGAAAGGTAGCAAGTCTGACGCTAAAAACTATAGAGGTATATCTAAGTTATCCGCAATTCCTAAAATGATCGAGAAATTTGTAACTCCGCATTTGCAACATCTCTGCAAATCGCTTATATCTCCAACTCATCACGGATTTATACGGCGACGATCAACAACCACTAATCTTTTGGAGTTCACATCCTTTGTCATTAAAGGCTTCCAATGTAAATTGCAGACGGATGTTATTTACACTGACTTTAGTAAGGCATTCGTTTCTGTAAACGACTCTCTTCTTGCGCACTCGACCTTCTAGTGTTTCCGCTCCATCATGGCTTTATCGACTCGGCTATTGATGCTGATCAAGAATATATTATACTTTATGGGGTTGGAAACGTCTCCTTCTCTGTGTTACATACATCCACTTTGTGACCAAATACAAAATACCCTATTTACTCGCCGAGAACCGGGTATAAAACAACTGAATGAATATTTCTGGCTTTCATACTTCAGAAAAATTTTGAAAAAAAAACGTGAAGGGACGTGTGAGACGCATCTTACGCGTCACAACTTTTATACCCGGCACTCAGGACTACATCTAGATGTAGAAGACATCGCCAACCACTAGATATCGTTCAAATTACAGAACACGTAGTGAAAAGCCTACTAAATAAAATGCATCAAAAAAATTGGATCAGTTAACCGTATTTTCCAATTTATGAGATATGTAAAACAGCAATACAATTGGTACTTTTTTCCTGCACATTCTGTGCAATAATGACCGCTAGGTTTCACAGCAGATTTTTCGAAGGTGGCGCCATCTATGAAATTTTCTGGTACGCAACTTTGATGGTCACTCTTTTTCTAATACAGAGCGTTAAAAACCGAGTCTTGGACGGACATACAGACATAGCTCTATCGACTCGTCTATTGATGCTGATCAATAATATATACTTTATGGGGTCGGAAACGTTTCCTTCTGTGCGTTACATACAACCGTTATTAGCACAAATATACCTTATTTACTCTTCGAGTACCGGGTATAAATATGTACATATATCCATATGTATGTATAGTTGAAATAGTGAAAATTATTGAAATATGCATGTATCCGAAGCTTACCAACATACATACATATGTAAATTAACTTTTGAGCACAAATGCAATATCCCCTATTTACTCTTCGAGTACCGGGTATAAAGGATATGTACATACAAGTAATTTAAATTGTTTATTGTACATATGTTTATTATCCTAAAACAAAATAATTACTTAGTAAAAAACATATCAAATCGACACAAAAGTAAAATGTATTTCTACGTTGTCCTGCTTTTAGTGCGTTGCGAAATAATTTAATCTTAAATACGCTTATGAATATTAAACAAACTGTCTTACAAGTGTAAACATGCTTGCAACTTATCTCCACATACATCTGTATGTATGTACATACATTTGTACATGTGGAAAGATGAGTGTATAGAAATTGTATTTATGGATGTGAATATTAATAGAGTACCTGGGGTCTGGTAAAGTTAATTTTTTGCTGGCCCTTGCAGCTGGTGTGCATTTTGACTTTTCCATTGCCATCAGATAGCTGACATCAGCCAAAACAGCTTCCAAGTCTGCCATAGCTTTAATATATTTATGTTTATGTTGACTCCTCTTTCATTCATATAAATTTTCTGTTAAGTTTACTTGGTTGCTAAACCATTACCAAACACCATTTATTTTTAACCAATTATAATACTTTTTTGCTGACAACAATAATAAATAGTATGTATATTTTTTCTTTAAGCACTTCTTCCTCTTATATTATATATCTTATAACAAATATCGATATACTCCACCAAGTATGGTACTCCTTAAATCGGTTTTGATTTGGCTTTATAACGGGCTCGGCATGCGTTCTTTCACGAGTCGTTTTTGCTTTTGCGTGCGAAGACAGGTACGAATCACTGTTATGCACGTGTACGTGTGTGCAAATAAATAGGCTCGTGCCGAGCCCTGGTTTGAATACAGAGCACAGGATAAACGGTGGGAATATACTAAAAAAGTGGAGTACCTATTGCACCATCCGTCCAAAAAATTTGATGATCATACATTTTTATATGTATTGTACAATATTAATCAGTTGCAATAATAATAATAATAATAATAATAATAATAATTACAAAACTATACATTTTAATATAATACCGGAAACATTTTTTTCTATTTTGTAATCTATGCAATTTTTTGGTAGAAATGTCCTTCGGTGTGGGCGTACAAACCAAAAATTTTACAAAACCAGTGCTTAACTGGAATTAAATTTAGGTTAGCACAAAAAGCTCATGCAGGGGGAACGGTGGTACCTTTTGAGAGATGTGAAACACCCGTTAACCCTGGCACCACCCACTACACCACTCGACAAAATCCAACCTTTTTCCCCGCTTCGAAGCAAACCGACTTTTTCTTATAGACTGAGGGCTTTACATATTTTTTAAAGATATATGGTTTCTATGTTAGAACTTTTTTTAAACAACTTTTAAGGTCTTGTATTTTTTGTAACGGATTTCTAGAGGTAGCGCTTCTCTTTATCGCACATCTTAAGTATCTTACTTTTGGTTGTAATGCGCCTAGCCATTCTATAAAGCTGACGAATGCTTCTATAATGTATACCCAAACACGTTGTATTTTTAGCTTACAGTTTGAAAAACATTAAGCTTTTAAATGCAAAAATGTTAATTTTTATACCCGGTACTCGCAGAGTAAATAGGGTATTATATTTGTGGGGAATAACGGTTGTATGTAACGCACAGAAGGAAACGTTTCCGACCCCATAAAGTATATATATTCTTGATCAGCATCAATAGCCGAGTCGATTGAGCCACGTCTGTCTGTCCGTCCGTCCGTCTGACCTTCTGTCCGTCTTGTTTGTAGACTAGTTCTCAGAGACTATAAGAGTTAGAGCCAGCATATTTTGGCTCCAGACTGTCTGACTGTTTGACAAAACACCGGTGCACCTATTTATAAACAATAGTAGAAACATGATTTTTTTGTTGTTTACTTTTCCCGAATTTTATTTATTTATTTTTTCTCTCTTTATATTTACAATCTGTTTGTTTAAACAATAAGTAAATTGTATAATTAATATTCAATTAACAGAAAAAGCAGTTTTCCAATGAGCCCTGCTATTATATATAACATCTTTTCAGTTTGTTGGATTTATCTATCAGGGATATCGAGAATGTTTTATCTTTTCAGTCTTCTTACTGTTAGGCTATTGTCTAATAGACTTAAGGCTAAATTATTTTCGTGGTTGTGGAGTCTGTCGATGTATTTCTTACTAGTTTTCTTTATTTCTTCTTTAATTGTTGGAATATTCAGATCTTTGTGGATGTTTGCATTAGATACGTAAAATGGAGCATTGACAATGTGTCGCAAAGTTTTTAATTGGTAACGCTGAAGTATCTCAATATTTGAGTTGTTAACAGTTCCCCAAAGCTGTATAGCGTAGGTCCAAACAGGCTTCAGTAGGGATTTGTAGAGACGAATTTTGTTTTCCAAAGTGGTTTCTGATTTTCGACTTATCAAATAGGACATTTTTAGTGTTTTAAGTCTAAGTTGTTGACATTTTGCTTTAATGTGGTTTTTCCATGTTAATCTGCGGTCGAGATGCAAGCCGAGATACTTCACACAGGTACTTTGTGGAATTGGTGAGCCGTTAAGTGTAACATTTGGGCAGTTACCTGGTCTTAATGAAAACGTTATTTGTACGGATTTCAGGGAGTTTATTCTAATTTTCCATCTTAAATTAGGCTTAGCTCACTCTGCAGGAGTTCAGAAGCTTCATTTATAGATGTGCTTGTGGCTAAAACGGCTATGTTGCAACAGTGCAGTTGTTTGTAACTGGCATGTCGGCCGTATATAGGGTGTAGATAATTGGTCCCAATACTCTTCCTTGTGGGACGCCTGCGTTGATGAGAAGTAGTGATGAATTATCGGTTTTCTGCTGCACGTAAAAGCATCTTCTAGCCAGATATGATTTGATTAATAAATAGTACGGAGCAGGTAGCCATTTCTTAATCTTGTACAAGATTTCGTATAAAATACCTAACAACGAGAAGGGACTTGTGAGACGCTTCTTACGCGTCACAACTTTTATACCCGGCACTGAGTACTACATCTGCACCTTACAACACATACATAAAACCACTAGGAGCTGAGTCAGTCGACCATCACAATTATAAAGGCTGTTACTTCACCGTATTGAGCCCAGTCTCCTTTATGGCCTGTGCAACCTCCATATAGACGTGGGAGTTTTTACGGGCTCCACGAAGATCTTCAATATTATCCTGCCAGAGGTCTACCAGAAGGCTCTTCATCTCCGATGACCATTTCACCCTGCCACCTGCTGTTCTCTTCTATTTTGCAATATTGACATATATTACTATTGCTTTGTAACAACAACTAAAATATAATATGTATATTAGTTACCACCGCTATTTTCTGATTCCTTGTTCCTTGTTCCATTTTCAATGTTTATTTGATTTTATTTTTAAGTAATCGAGCTCTAGCCTGCGAAAATGTTCTAGTGTTTTGTTGTTGGATTTCCTCTCTTTCTGTCAGTTATTGTTTACATTTTCGCAGTAAATTTAATTACTTATGGTTGTATTTGAAAATAATCGAATTAATTTCGCATGGGAACGTGCAAACTAGGAACATCCCAGATGGATGGTGGAATAACTGGGATTATTTCGGAACGGCAAAACCTTACGGACCATCCCAGATATGGATCGTGAATGGTGCTCAGTGTGAAACGGCTATAAGTGTTCCTTTTCCATATTTCGAAACATCAAAAGTGCCATTTATTTGTGTTGACTTTTCCTCCCTGGCATAACCACGGATTCAAATGATAGTTCATACTGAAATATTAAATGTTGTTTACACCGGCTTATTTTAGAAAATAAAACGCCATCTAGCTAATAAAATTATAAAAATGTCGGCCAGTGAAAGTATTCCTGTAAATACTTTTCGAAATTATTTGAATATTCTAAATGACCCCTCTGCAAAAGAAGAAATCAAGTTAAAAGCCACACAAGAACTTAGCGAACATTTTGAAATGATAATTCAAAGCTCATCGTACCCATCGTTCTTGGAAACTTCACTAAAAATATTTATGCGTATACTGCAAGAAGGCGAACCTCAGTTCATTCAAGAAAACACAATGCAACATGTGAGTTTTTTTCAAATATGAACATATCCCATACAATTATGTTCATTTATAACAATGTACATATGTATGTACATATGAATGAACATACTAGTGGACTAGCTGCAAACCCCCATTTTTCATACAGTGGCTCCATCGCATAATCGGACAGAAGTTTCCTCTGTACGAATGTGCTCAAATAGTACAAAGAAATGCGTTAAAGCAATCGTTTTTTCACTTTGTATACAGCTTTATAGTATTACCTATCCAAATCATAATCAAAAAGTCATACTTTTTAGTGAGAACAGTTAGTTTTAATTGAAAAACCAAAAAAGTCATGTTTTGAGACTCGCCTAATTGCACAAGTCAAAAATGCCAAAGGAAAATCCCGCTTATTTTCTAAAAAATCTTTTCAAAGTACCGGTTTTTCTTATCGAATATATGCCATGGATGCCTGGATATATACCAGACAAATCAAAAACATTTTGTATTATTCGGGAAGGTCACGGCTAAATTGTATACAAGCCAAAAAGGCATTCGAAATTAACAAAAAATTTGTCAACATAACTTTAAAATTCATAAAAATTATAACCTACTTTAAAATTGATCGGGAAAAGACGTTTTCCCAAAGCGTGGGTCTAATACATTGAAAAAGTTACATTTTTATGAGAGATTTCCCCGACCTAGTCCATTTTTGGGCTCTAACTATGAAATAATTAAGTCGAGAACTTGTACTGAGAAAATTAATTTGTCGAATAAGGTATTTTGATGCTCAATCATCTAAAATTCCAATTTTTTTAATAGTGTTTATTATTAAAAGATATTATTGAATGAATGCTACCAAAAAAGTTTGATTTTACGACGATATAGGGCCAAAATACCTTATTCGACAAATTAATTTTCTCAGTACAAGTTCTCGACTTAATAGAACATGACTTTTTTTGGTTTTTCGATTAAAACTAACTGTTCTCACCAAAAAGTATGACTTTTTGTTTATGATTTGGATAGGTAATACTATAAAGTTGTATAAAAAGTGAAAAAAAAAAACGATTGGTTTAACGCATTTCTATATACTTTTTGAGCACATTCGTACACTGGAACTGTGTACAATATGTTGATCTCTGATACAAAATTAACTTTTTATGTTTACGTTGACCGTACGCCAAGTTATAGGTGTTCAAACTAGGGTGATGATGGTGTCCGAATAATATGTGTGCTTACTTTATGTATATACATATATCAAAATTTGAAACACATCCATATCGCTACCTTGGTGCCCATACTTGTCTGGACGTTGATATGCAATGACTGCACCATCAAGTGGCCCATGCGACACCAAGCCAAAGCCTGTTACGCGCGGAATCAAGCAGAACGCAGCCCTCCTACTGGACAACCGACCGAGGGGCTCTGGCGCATGACGCGCGGCGCGATTAACCGAACCGGTCGCGAGCAAGCAGGAAAGATAGATGTTAGGCTAATATTTAGTAAAATTAGAACTAAACACAACTAAACCAGAGCAAGTATAGCTAAGAAAGCTAAATTATCAAAGTCAGAAACAAGACAAAGCTGAAATGAAACTAAC